CTTGAACGGCTTGTCCAACTCGTATTTGTGCCAAGCATCGCCAGCTGGGTTGGGATCTTTGATGCTGCGGTCAATGTGGACGGTGAAGACGTCACCATTGGGCATAGTTGCGCTGACACCGCCAGCTTGGCCCCAAGGGTACGATCCACTCCAGGGCACGTTGACCATCATGGTCGGGCTGTAGGTATCTAGCCCGTTGCCCGTCCACACATCGCCCGGGTAGTAGATCATCTCGCGTGAGGTAGAACCGCCGTTTGCCCCGAGACCGATGCCGCAATCGGCGAGCACGAGACTCTCGTATGGGCTCCTTTGGGCCAATGCAACACCTGCAGAGAACAAAAGGGTTGCGCCCCAGGAAGCAGACCGGAAGCTTTTGGTGAACATGTTGAGTTGGCGACTTATCGCGGTAGATAATAATCGATGAATTAACAGAGTCAAGTGTTTCAAACGAGGTGTTCTCAGTTAGTGAAATCTTGTTGATGCTGCTAAGACCAAAAGCACAAGCTGTGGCAACATCGTGTCTTTAATGTTTCTACATATCAACTCGTCCTGCCCTCGATGGGACCATCTGTGTTGAGATTTTCTGTCAGCGGTATGGTCGCCGGCTGTTGTATTTCCCCGGGCTCGCCGTTTAAGAAGCCGCTCAACACGATCGTCTGCTAGATGCGGGCTTTCCGAAAAGGTCTCACCTTGTTTCGATATGCTTTGGGCAATGCGTTGAGCCCATTGTCGCCAGTCCGGAAAGGCTATCTGGGGTGTGGGTTGCACAACAAACCCTAGTTTAATGCTCCTACTTCTCAGCCAGCCAATATCCGGCCTTAAGTTAGAGCTATGCACAAATTCTCAAGTTCAAGCCGCTCATGCATGCTCACCTCAATCTGTACAAACTAGATGGTGATTAAAAAGAGATATTCACTGAAAGTATTCGTTGCTCGTGGTTGTCCCCAAACATTACAATGTTGGGTCCTCAGCTTTCTCTAACTTGATGGTATTGCAACGTGGCGTGGGGAACGCGTAGAAAGCCAATGCCCCGGGAACGGAGATTTCCATGCCAATTTGGGTAGTAAGACGCTCTGATAGGTTTCTCAAGTTCATGTACATGTCGCAGATAATTCATCACAACCGCTTAGGTGCCCTATGATGCATGGCAGTGGCTGAATCTGCACATAAGCACTAGCCCCGCGAGGGTCTTCATGCATACAGAGTAATCGCCGACCTTGATTAGCATCTGCGTCTCATGTCTCAATGAGTAGGCTTTCTCCTTTTTCGGCCGATGAAAGGAAGGACGTTTGAAAGAACACGCTTGGCCTGCATTTCGCCACAAATCCGCGTGCAGTGAGGTTCGGATGCAAGGAAACGTAAAGCACGTAGAAGAGGGTTTCTAGGGAGATTTGACACTAATTTCTAAGAAATACTGAAACGGCGGGCGGATAGGGTAGCAGGATAGAAGACGAATATAAATCGACAAGGACAATAACAACAACGACGACGACGACGACGATGACGAAAGCGATGGCAGTAATAGCTATCAAGCTACTGTACAGATATAAGATATCAGCAATAGTCCGCCCAGTAAGCTAGCCCGAGGTATGTGCCTGAATAGCGCCCGGTTAGCGACACTTTTACAGCATCTTTCTCGTCGGTTGAAAATCACTAAGCGCAGAAACTGAAACTTTCATAGCTGGGGAACTAGGGCCCCATGCAATAGCAAACTATCTCCCTCATGGCAGAGGGAATTTCAATTTACATCGAAGAATGGGTTCGGTCGCGCATTTAATTGAATCATTCAGATGGTGTTTCGGGGTGATTCCAGGATGAAAACGAATCCTGAAGGAACCTTCCCTTCAGAGTACACTAAGCGGAACTGGGCGGCGTGATACTTAAATAAGCTCTCAATTTATCAACGTTTCTGGCGAAATGATGTTTGCACGATAGGAGCGATGGAAAGTGTCTCTAAGCACCTCTAAAATCACGTCTATTAATTTCATGAAACCTCATGATCTGATTTATCTTTGAGTGGCCTCCCACACCGGTTGACACAACGACAAATGCATCCTGTCATGATTTCGGGTCAGCTTTCCCAACCCCACAGGCTGGGGAACGCCTCCTATAGGATCGATGGATCTTGCGCAATTATAATCATGTAAATCATATGCCATTCTCACCGCGGTTGTGGTAACAGTCACAGGCATTCAATCCAAATACTTCAGTCTCGTCCGATTGTAGAGGATCTGAAGGAATCAACTCAACATACGGAGAACTAGGCATCATGATTGCATATATGTCTTCAACATCAGTCCTTGGCCCCTATTCTTCACGGCATAAGGATTTCCCTTTCCTTAGCACTACCATGATAAGTAGTAACTTCGAATACCTAAACAGACATGTTTTTCGGTTTGCTACACACCTTTCGGACACCCTCAATGACTCACTCGCAACAGTTTTCACACCTTTTGATTGTCACATCTTTTCGCAGTCCAACAGACAGAGTCCACTCCTTTTCAGACGACTCCTCCAGCCCACCAAGTCTCTCTTGAGTCACCTGCCTGAATTACCCGTTGGTAAGGCTGGCCACACTATGACTCAACCTTGATGGCCCACCCACTAGTCCCCTTTTGATAGACGTCATGAGGCTCCCACGGCTCTTTGCCATTCTTCTCGTTGTAGGAACCGTCGTGGTTGCCGCCGGAACTGTTCTTCCCAATTTCGCTAGACAGGCGTGCTGGTGTTCATGCGACGGGCTTCCAGGTAGCAGCGCTATGCTATGGCCGGCATGGCATGCTGTGGACAGGCCGGTGCTCAGTGGAGCAGCACTTCCTGCCCTTTGAGCAACAAAGCTGCTGCCGTTTTTGCCAACTGCTGCAACAGCAAAGGTGGCGGTGGATGTGTCTAACCTTACGAGTGGAGTGGCTTGAACCTCTGGCCCATCCGGGTACATCGGATATGCCACAACGCGGTTTTGACGACAGCATTACAATCAAATCAAGCCTGTATATTAAATTAACTCATAAAAGAATATGCCATTTCGTACCCATTGCTTATCGTCAAGGCTGTTGCTATGGTTATTGAGCTCCGTCATGAACGGATTGCCTCAGAACAATTGAGAGCTAGGTCAGTCATTACTCTGCGCTATGCGGGAATGACCTTGGTGAACTTGCGACCTGGATAGTTCCTAAAAGTCAAAAAGCCGTGAAGATGCCTCTCAGACCTCTTTGCGGTTGGCAAAAAGGTCTTTTGCAACCCTTGTACTCTTAATATAGTCAGAGACATGTACGAAAAAGTATAATAAGTATTCAAATGGTTGAAACAGCATACCACCATCTTTCTTTTACATCTGATCAACATCCGATTTCCTTCAGATTCCAGACAGAAGCGATGGCTTCCAAAGCAAAGTCAACAACCGGCCAGGAGGCAGCTGGTATCCGCTGCAGGGAGTTCGCAGACTTGCTTAACCGCGCACATGAAGACACCGAATTTGGCGAAGAACGTCCTATTACAGCGCGAGGGGGAGTGTATGCGAAAGTCACCCTCCAAGACGTAAACGAAGACGTTGTTCGAGCTCTCGGGGAGTGGGTTGTGAAGCCCCGCGGATATCTGACACTCCCCAAAAGATCCACTTCACGTTCTGCCACAATTGTCTTCGCAGTTACCGAGCGAATCTGGAAAAACCTTCGATCGGAAAGCTGCATCACTTTCGTTGAGAACATCCATCACATCAGCCCCGTTACCGTTTCGTGGGTGATGGACGACAAGGGGAAGAGGGAGGAACCAGAAACCCTATCTGGAATATCTCAAATTGATGATAGTGGTCCTCTTGACGCGATCAATATTCACGTGGATTATGGTGAGGGTCTCTAAGGTACGTTCTGCGGTACACCGTATGTAGTGGCTCGAGGCTGACTACAGAAAAAGACTCGAAGCTCTAGCCGACATTTTCGTTTTCACGTACAAACTAAGTGCATGGGAAATCACACTGATAACCAGTCAATCTGCTTTCAAATTTTCCATGGGCTCGACTTGAGGGGCCATCTGAAGCATTGAGATTCAGTTCTTGGGGCATGGGACCTCATCAGCTGGGAATCTCGGGAATACCTTTTTAGCTCTCGGGCATCCCAATGCAGTAACTCCGAGCGCAACAAAGCAAAATAGCGAACAATGCTTAGGGCAGTCAGGTTCGCCCCATTCCGCTGGACATTCTGTAGACAGAAAAGCTTTGTAATTCTCTGTACAAACATTTATGGAAACCTTGTCATGTTCCAGAACATTGAGCAGTTCTTCCAGCATAGTACGAGCATCACTAGCACCAAGCACGATTTGAAGAAATTCTTAGCAAATTCATAAGCGTCAAACATGCATGTGACCACCACGAACTACATATGGTCAAATGTCCATACTACTTTTGCTAGTAGCAGTCATTATGCGGTCAAGGTAGTGCGAATAAGCAGCGAAAACGAGTGTAGAGCTGACACGTGACTCGCAGCTCTGCGACGGCGCCGACTTACTTCGCCCCGCCGTAATTCCACGTCAAGATCGTTTTTACGCAAACATGCAACGGAGAGTCCGGTCGCCTTGCTCCTTCAGCATCCTGCAAAATGTTTGACGAGTTGAACATGCCAAAATAAGCCACCATGTTACCCAGCGAGCCCGCATCAGAAGGTGCTCAGCCATCGCCCGTCCGCAAAAGCAAAATCGGCTCATTTCGCGTGTCTACTGTCGACGACTTCAGTTCCAGCACTCGCAATGAACGTATTCGGCGAAGATCCGGGCTTCCATCAACAGCCTGCCAGACATGTCGGTCTAGGAAGGTGAAATGCCATGTGTCCGTTGGTCAAGAAGGATCTTCCACACTGGGAGAGCAATCCCAGCCCCCACGGTGTCAGGCATGCCAGCAAGCGGATATTGAGTGTCGCTGGGACACAGTCGACAAGAGAAAAAGGCGCAAGGTGCAAAGCACAAACGATGCATCGCGAGAAACCGGAACGCTACCCATGGAAAGCATCATGGTCATCGGGGACGGCCAGCAGCCTGCTTCAGAGGAATCTCATCTTCACAACAGGGCGGCAAGCCAACCTTCAGGAGGTGAGGATCTCAGCGTACATCCAGGAGAAAAGAGCGCACAAATGCCGGGGAATTTCAACAGCATTCATGTCGGCGTGCCTGAGATGGGCATCAGGGCAAATAAGGAGCCATCCGAAGTGCACTCGGAAATTCAATCTCCGTCCAGGGAATTATTTTCATTCGACAACATGGACATGTCATATGACTGGTCGGAAATTCAAGATTTGGTGCTCGATTTCGATGGAATGGAAAACGTCAGCAACATCAACTGGGATAACATTCTCGCCGACCGACAGTCAGACGATCCCGCAGCAACGCCTAGGCCCCCAGCCAAAGCGATGCGCCTGCGGCTGTATCGACGATTCGGGCCCACTGCTGTTCTGCCCGGACTGAGAAAGCTCTCAATTGCCGTCAACACTCGATCTCCAGAAGGGAGTGGTGAATCCGATGCTAGTAGCCGCCCTGGAACTTCGATGACGTTGTACTCTCGAAGGGTGAAGGCAACGCATCCGTCACCAGGTACGCCAATGTCTGACGACTCTCCCTATGATCTACCTCTGGAAGGTATTCGTCAAATAGCCGAGGTATTCTTCAACCGGCTGGCTTGTTACTTCCCATTCGTCGAACCCAAGATTCTGGATGGTCATGTTCGCTCAGGCCAGGCGTCCAGTTTGTTGATGAATGCTATCGCAGCTTTGACGATGAGGTTTTGTCCCGTTGAATTGTCGCCGGGCACAGTGGATGTAGGCGCAGACAGCCCATGGCGAAATGGGACCTATTTTCTGAAGCGTGCAAAAGAGCAGCTTGTTACACTTTTAGCCATACCCACGACAGACATTGTGTCTGGAATCTTGATCCTAGCTTGGGCGGAATTTGGGGACAACAACGAAGCTGGTGAGCAAAGTTTCTCTGGTATCAATGCGAGACAAAGATCAAAGGCTGACAAGGATTTCAGGACTATGGATGCTTTCTGGTATGGCTATCCGAATGGCTCAGGATATGGGGCTACATCGATGTCCCGAGAAAGAAGCGAACCCTTCCAGCGTCGCTTTCTGGGATCGTTCGCCCCTCAGTCCAGACGGCAAAGGTCTTCTCAGCGATGAGATGTCCAAACTGCACCAAGCTAAATCCAAACTGATACTGTTCTGGACGGTGTTCTTCTTGGATGTGTTTGTATCCCTGCTTACTGGCAGGCCACCCACTCTGAAGCGCTCAGAGGTCGAAGTGCCAATCCCAACAACGGACGACATGAAAGCCGCGCAGCTGGACTTCCAGGAGCACGTGTCAATGAAGAACAAGATATTCCCTGAGATAGCCCGGTTTATGCTGCTCTATTCAGAAGCAGTTGAGCTTCTGAACCAGACACGGAGCGAAGAGCAGGCTGACGCCTCCACTTCTTCAAATGAATCATCTCAAAGATCCAAGTTGGAAAAGGTCAGAGATCAGATCATGAACTTGTACCATTCCCTTCCTCCAGATCTGGCTTTTAGCATCGATAACTACAAAGCTGCCAGCCTGTGTAGGCAGGCGGGACAGTTCTTGATGCTTCATGTCTACTTTTACACTTTCACAATTCTCCTGTCGAGAAAGCATTCACCAGAGGGTACGAGTAACTCACCCCAGCCACAGGTTGTGTTGGTGGCATGCCAAAAGATTGTTCAAATGCTCAACACTGCTGAGCTCATCGACAAAACCGGGTATCTTTCTGTTCCGTTCATCAACCAGGGCTTGTTCGTCGCGGCGTCTACGATTCTGGAAGAGCAACAATCTAACCAGAATCGGCCCCAAGATTTGTTTTCTCTGGTTAGCGGCACTGACGTTGACTATCTCTGCAAGAAGCTGCAGGAAATGTCCCACTACTTCAGGGGTACTGGCGTGACCCTAGCGGCATTGGAACGCAAAAGACGAGAGGTCGCGGCCAAAACCACAAGAGGCAACCACTCGAGCGAGGATGAAGATTCTGACGAAGAAAAGAATGAGGTTGTTCAGTTGAGCGATGGTGGCATTGTAAATCGATACTCGATACCGGAAGAAGGAAGCTAGCTAACTGTCGGTTCAGCATGGGATAGTAGAAAGGCAGTCATTCAGGATTCGGAAAAGTGGTCAGATATTGACACAGGGCGGGGAATTCTCAAGATGTATACAATGTTTTCAACAGTGGAGTCTGCTTAGTATTGTTAAATAGTAAGAGATATGTAAAGTTTCAAGATCAACGCCCATACTGAGTAAAATTCTGTTCTCAGAGATCTATTTGGCCAAGTTGGGAAACACATGCTAGGAAGCGAAGTGCAGCCAACCCTTGCCCCACCTTCCCCATTCGGTAAGTCCGAGCCATGTGCAACCTGAACTGCATAGTCAATTTCTCCTGCTTCTTCAAATACGACGTCAAGATTTTATGCTACTATTGGTTTTACAAGTATTTTTGCTGTATATCCTAGAAGATCTCTTATCAGGAATCCCGCGTTCTTTAACCACCAGCTGGTTCAAGCTTTCATTACGAGACCTCGGTATCGACCATGGGCTCCCAGAATAACGCTGAAGCCCCTGCGGGCACGGCTTCTTTCGCAGCGATTTTGTTCGACATGGACGGGACTATCATCGACACGACCTCTGCCATCGTTGAGCACTGGCACAGGTACGGTTCACCGGATTTCTATAGGTGTAATCGCCTAAGCTGACTGCACTCCAGAATTGGAAACGAAATCGGCGTTCCACCTGAGACTATTTTGGAAACATCTCACGGACGGCGAAGCATTGATACGTTGAAGCTGGTGGCGCCTCACAAGGCAAACTGGGAGTGTAAGACTCTTTGTGTGTTCTTAATAAAAGCGGCGGCTGACTTGAGATTAGACGTTAAAGAGGTTGAAGCAAAGTTGCCGGCGCTATACGGACATCTAGTAGAAGAGATACCCGGAGCTCTCAAGTTTCTTGAGACTGTGGCGAAGTGTCAAAACCCGTGGGCTATCGTGACATCGGCGTCAGAGCCCCTCGCTTCAAGATGGATCTCGCAACTGTCACTCCCCGTTCCAGATCACCTTGTCACAGCAGAGCTGGTAGAGAACGGAAAGCCAGATCCTTCATGCTATGAACTTGCATTGAAGCAGCTTGGCCTGGTAGGGAGATCAGATGAGACACTGGTTATTGAGGATAGCCCAGCGGGCATAATTGCGGCCAAAGCAGCAGGCTGCAAGGTTTTAGCGCTTCTGACGACTCACTCGAAGGACCAGGTATCTGCAGCAAAGCCTGACTGGGTGGTGAAGGATCTTCTCTCTGCTGAGGTCGTCGGCTATCAAAATAGCAAGATAGTTGTGAAATTTCACGATCAAAAGTAGGATGAATAACATAGAATCGCAAATGATAGGTTGAAAGAGTAAATGATTATGAAGGCTTGAGACTAATATTGCGAGAGTCTTGCTATCTGGGCGGATACTACTAGTTAATTGGGCGAATAACTACCTATATTGATCCTAATAGTTTATCTTATCTTGACTAAGCTTTACTACTATAGTCGCTGTTCCCATCCTTCTCTCCTTCCCTATTATTATCGTTATCGTTGTCATTATTATCATTGTTATTGTCGTCGTCGTCGTCGTTATAATCGTTATTATCGTATCGTCCCTATCGTCATATATCCAACACCCGCCCGGTTAGCTAGAAGCATCCGCCTGGATAGCAAAATTCTGTTGCGAACTGCGTTGGTCAAATGTTATTACAGTCTATCCAGCGATATTGAAGCTCAGATAATGTGTGGAAATAAAGAAAAATATAGCCTGAGAGAGCAGTCAACGTCATATGACGCTTCCGGAACCAGTGCATATAGATTTGACCGACCATTTATCGGAAAACCCTGGGCTAAGGGCCGTAATGAATGTATGGCACCCAGAGCGGTAACATGATTTCGGTTCTTCTGATATCTCTCATGGACCTAAGATCCTCTCCATGATGCGACGTATCTCCTTCCTGTTCGTCATCATGCACAGCGTCTCTAACTTTGTCTGCCTTCTCCCTCTGCTTCAAGTCCGCAATTACGGACGCCGCCCAGATGTCTCGAAGCTTCTTCGTAGCGAAATGCAAGCCACCGCTTACGGATGCGTCTGATATCCCTTTCGTGATCAGAAACTCGTATGTCAATCTCGCCATTTCTGAAGACAATTCATCGTCGACCTCCCACAGAGTCCCAACCACATGTCGAAAGCCTGACAGCTGGAATGCACTTGTCAGATGAATGTTTTCATCCACGAGATCCTGGTTGGAGTTTTCGCTTGTCTTGCATGCCGACAGGTAGGCTAGGAATGGTGGGCTAGATGCAAGATTCTTCTCCATGAGACTTGCAGTAGTTAAAGGTTGCGTCATCCAATCGTCTAGCAGAATGTGGCTCTTGAGCGGGTCAAGCCGATTCGACTCTCCGTGTCCTGCAAAGTGGAAGATGCGGCAAGTCTCCAAAGCTGCCAGAACGTCTTTCTTAATAGAAGTAGGCTGCACGCAATTCAGCGAAGTCGAGTTGAAAACACCACGAACCACGTCAACCTCAGTTCTTGCGTAGCGGAGGCTTGAGTGTGGCAGCCCGGGGGTTTCTCCCATTCCGATCAATACGACATCTGAACCAAATTCATGATAACGCTGTTGACGAGATGTCATAATGGCCTTCACAGACGAACTGTATGAAGACATAACCCTGTCCATGGCGGTCCTGTGGCCTGGAGCTAGGTGATAGCCAGCAGCATGCAACGGAAATCGAACAAGAGGCCCAGTTGGGATCCAGACAATGTGTGGCCAGTTGTCGTCGACACAATGCTTCGAGAAGCCCAGATGGTCCAGTACCGGTCCGACCACAGAGTCCCAAAGCCACATGAGTGTTTTGAACGACCCGACATCATCTGCGCGTCGCAAAACGTCATCCTTGGTGAGTTTTGGCAGTTCAAAGGCATGTATCCGAGATTGCTCTATAATCAGAGCATCGCAACGTCGGGAACTTATGTTGATGATGACGATTGGGCCGTCTTCTGCAGCATCTTGCATTTGACTTCCAGTTGCAGAAGACAGGAATCTGTCGAAACCAGGCTGCGCACGAATGTCCTCCAAAAGCGCGGCCATTTTTGTGCTCGCTTTGTGACGTTGGTCTGTTTCTGGAAGCTTGTATAGGCTCAACGGATCGTCGAATGATTCGATATCTTCGAAGGCGTCGCGGTATGTCGGTTTGTCTAAGTCGGCGCGGAGTTCGATGAAAGACCGAGCGAGTTCGGGGTGTTTGGCCTCTAGCAAGGATAAATCTGTCCGCCTATCGTGGAAGAAGCTGGCTAGAACTCCACGGCCGGTTTCCAGAAGTTCGATGGCAGTGACAGGGCTCTGGCCGTCATTGAGTGCGATTGCTGCCGCCTCACATGCGATTCCAACAACACGTCCCAAAAAGAACTGCTTGTCTTCAGGCTGAAGAGACAAAGGCGCCGATATAGGAATGAGATCCACGGCAGTTTTGGCGTCTATGAATGCCTCATGTTTGTCTTGGTCCATGTACCCCTTTGGCAAAAGATGGTAAGCCGCGTAGACCCGTGTTGTTACGTCTGCTTGCTCAGAACCCAGCACCGCGCGTAAGTACCCTCTTGCCTGATCTCTGTCGGCATCTTGGTCTGTATTGGAGAACCTGAGGTCAAGTCGCGCTCCAAGATTAAGTAGCCATCGGCTCATACTCTCGTGTCCTGCAGGGGCAGTATCGATGCATTCGTTCAAGTACTCAATGCACTGATCCAAGTCTGTTAAATCGTGTGTGACGAGAAACCGTTCGGCAAGAAGATTTCCAACATTGTTCAAATACCCGCATCGATTCTCATGATCGCGAGGGGAGATCGCAAGCGCTTCTTGTCCAAGGTTGATAGCCTCATTGATATCGTCGACATTCTTGGTTAATCTTGCCCGGTTATTAAGCTGCGTACCAAGGTTGACAAGCCTGCTGGGCCTGTTTTCATCTTTCTCTGGTGTCAGTTCGGCCATTTTTCTCACAACGCGGATGCTATTTTCGATATCGGGCAGAGCTTGGGTTCTTCCGAACTTGCTCAGGTACATACTTCCGAGGACATTCAATCTTCCGGCGTTTCGACGGTCGTTTTCTCCCAAAGATGAAACAAGGTCTTCCATGATATTGATGGCCTTCTCCAAATCCACCAAAGCTCCAACGAGATTGAACCTAACTTTCAGCCCTTGCACAAGATGCTGTATAAAGAAATCTCGTTCTAGCCCAGCTGGCGCAATTTCCAAAGCTTTTCGACTGTGCAAGATTGATTCGTCGATGTCCGAAACTTGGTGAGTGTGGTTGAATCTGTGCCTCAACCCAAACCCTATGTTTTTGAGGTTTTCGACTCTCTTTGGATGGTGCAATGGGGCCGCTTCAATCGCCATCCTTGCAACTGCAATGGCCTCGTCCAAATCCTCAAGTTTATTGCTTCTTTTGAATTCAAAGAACAAACCTGATGCAAGCATGTGAAGAACGTCATGATAACAAGCGTCCGTTTCCAAAACCCCTGATAGGGCCGTCCTTGTAACAGCAATTACATCAACTTGTTCTGGCGCTTTCTCGCTCTCGTCTAGCCATTTGTCAAGGGACGTGATGAGATTTCCACAGTGTTGGCTTCTCGTCGGGGCATGAGATGGGATAGATTCGAGGATTCGTGTTGTGTGGAAGATGCTTTCTCGCAGGTGTGGCAGCGATTGTGAAAGCTTATACCTTTCCCATGTCATGTCTGCCACAAATTTCAAACCTGTTTCGAAGACGCGGCCCCATTCTGGTGTCATTCCTGTGAGAGCCTGTTTCTCAACGAAGATGGCGTTGTCGAGGTCAGCTACATTTGAAGTAGCCCTGGACCTCATGGCGAGCGTCTTTGCAATCATGTCTAGCTTCCGGAGTTGCATGGGATGGAATCCGCCGGGAACCACTGAGACCCTCGGAATTATGCTATTGCTCATAGCTTCTGGATCCCTGATTTGTAAATCGGCAAGTTGGTTGGCAAGATCGTTGAATTGTCGAAGAATATGCACCGTTTCGTCCAGCTCAAGTTTCACCACTGAGGCTGAATGCGCTGATACTTGACGAGTAGTCTCGTCTTCGTTGTGATTGTCGTGCGGATCGCCCGTGTCGTCCGTGTCCGTCAGGTGAGAGTAAACCTTCACTTCCATTCTCCAGACCAGATTTGTCCATCCTGGATAGCGAGCAAGAGGGAATATGCCGACCTCTCCGCCTTCCATAAACGCTAAAGATTCGATCCAAGCCTGAACGTCATCCATCTCTTCGTCGTCTTCTGATGGAACCCCAAGATTCCACTCGTGAGTATGGCATCGAATATCAAACGACGCTCGTACGTTTCGTTGAAACTCATAGAGGTCGGGCTCCTCATCCTCTTGTATCAGTCCAAGCGCGAACCATGTGTTGGAGTCCGCGTATGGGTTCAATGACGAAGTAGTGTCAGCTCGTCCTGGACGATGTCAGCGAATGCGTGGAGGTGTGCAGTTTTGTGGTAGCAAAACACGTACCTTGATCGTGTGACCATATCCGTACAATGAGTCGGGTTAGTTGCCCCGGTCCCAAGGTGAACTTCAAGTAAGGGGCGCGAGGTGAGTTGCAATCGAATCCTGTTGGCCGTGCTCGAATGATTTCTTGTAGCTGATACGGCTTTTCGTGGACAGCCTGGCCAGGCTGCTCTTCAGATGTGGCCATTTTTGAATTGAATGCGAGATGGGCTTATCAAGGGCATCACGCACAAGTGTTAGGGTGCTGAGCTGCGCTGCGACAATGCGACGATGCGACAGACTTCAGCCAGGAAAGACCTGAGATGAAGAAGGAACTGAGATGGTCACAACGTCACAGCCTCGCGGGAAATCATGTGCCATAGATATTACCAACACATGACACAGCTGAAAATGGCGTCGTCGCACTCACACAAAATCAGGCGACCAATCCCAAGCCTGGATTCAGCACGCTGAAGAGGTTCGGAACGGGGATCCGCACAGGGCCCCATGCTGGTTGAACAGCAACGTTATCGCTCTTGATTTGAAAACCAGCGGACGCTTAGATCTAGTAAAGAGTTCACAGATAGTTGCCGTCAGGTCGCTATGTGTATTGCGTGCTTCTCTTGAAGGACTAACAACTGTCGCAGCAAATGACAGTGCCTGATTCGTCGGCTGCGATAAATGTACATCGCGAAGTACCTCCAAGAGTCCGGACGAATCAGGGGCTGTCATTCTGACCAATGCAAGTAGGGTATTAGAATTCGCATGGGTCTTTGTTGTATACAGTGCAAAGTGTACTCGAGCCAAACACTATTCCTTGTCTTTGTAAGGGTTAAATTGTAAATACAAAATCTCTCATGCTAAATGACTGATCGTCAAGCTTGATTTCCAAGCTAACATTCTTATTGTTTGGAAATTGTAAAATGACCAATGAGAAGAGCTTAATTAGCCGGAAACAGGAACCAGAGTTCTTGTCGGAGAACTAGACGTATCTAACCAAACTTCAAAGTGGGCGTCCTACGTGCGCTGCGCAGATTGCACCGTGTACACATACTAATGACGACATCTTGTGGGCACATTCGAGCAAGTACCGCGTACCTCAGCAAAGATTTCGCACACTGGAATTTTGAGATACTGCGGAACCTACATGCATATTCCCCTCAAACCTTTTCACGTCTATTTGATCCTCAAGTCAGCCTCGCCTCCAGGCAATACGCATTGGGTGACTGATAGCTCCCTGTATTGTCTTCTTTTTCGATCGAGATCGAGTTTTGTTTTCCCATCATGGCATCCGGGAATAACCCGAACACAGTCCACCTGACTGAGCAGGAGGCGGAGCGGATCCGGACCACCGTCCAGAACAACCTAGAAAACCGATCCAAGCAGGCCGGTCAACCCCGGGAGCCGAGAGATGCTCATGGCGCCATCAGCCAGGCTACCGGTGCCTCCCTCATGCAGGACATGGGCAACATGACGGGATCCGGTGGACAAGACACGCTCCCTGCCCTTGGCGTCGGACAGACATACCCGCCATGTGCAGTCTCATTGCGAGACTTGGAGCCAATGACTCTTGCCGATCTCAAAATGGAAACTCATCACACAGGCCGCCGACTCATTGTCAAGCGTGCAGCTCCAGTGGTCACGCACGCCGCCCGATCATGGACTATGGTGCAAGACGAGGAGGCCAAGGAGACGGAGAGGTTGGAAATCTGTCTTCACAAGACGATGCACGGCGAGGAGATCCTTGAGTCGGCAAAGACTTTCGAGATCAAGGAGCCATTTTTTACTCTCACCGAGGAGGGTGAGGCTACTATCCGGATTGACCATCCTTCGGATCTCGTCCCCATCGTGGATGAAGCACCAGGAGCGGACAAGAAATCAGCCGAAGACATGGCTAAGAAGTGCAAGGACTTGGGCAATGAGGCTCTCGGGAAGAAGAAGCTTGGCCTGGCTCGTGCAAGATATACCCAGGGCCTGGAGTTTGCTAAGAAGGATGCGGAGAAGACCGCAGACCTGGCCAGAGATATTGCCCGCAACCGCGCGCATGTGAACCTTTTGCTCAAGCGAAACGATGAAGCCATCGCGGACGCCAAGGCTTCTCTTATTGGAAAGGACGACGAGCGGTCCAAGGAGCTCGACAGCAAGGCTTACTTCCGTGCCGGGACTGGAGCGTACAACCTGGGAGAGTATGAACAAGCAAAGGGCTTCTTCGAGAAGCAACTAGAGCTTGCTCCTGAAGATAAGGGCGCAAAGGCGAACCTCAAGAGACTGGCTCTCCGTCTCAAAGAGCAAACGGAGGGCGGCCACGACTTTGCGAAGATTAAGGCGAGTCTTTCTCGCGCTGCTCCGCGAGCTGATGCGGCCACATTCAACGGCAAGACGGTGGTCAAGGACAGCAAGGGACGCGGACGTGGTCTTTTCGCATCACGCGACATTGGAAATGGCGCAGTCATCATGGTTGAGAAGGCGTCCTCCGTTGTATGGGGCCACGAGAGCGACGCTCTGACAGGAATGACCTACGACGTGCGGGATAAGAAGATCAGGGTATCACCCATTGGCCTCACCAAGGTCATCGCCCAGAACCTCCTGAACAACCCTTCTCGCATCGCAAAGGTCATGGATCTTTACGGCGACTACACCGGAGACGCCAAGGCAAAGACCGAGACCGAAGAAGGCCCGGTTGTGGACGTCTTCAGGATACACGATATTGTCTGCCGCAACGCCTTCGGCGCGGATGATTCGCATCTCGGGGGTGTCTCGAAGCCGAGCACCGGTCTCTGGGTCCGAGCCGCTTACATCAACCACTCTTGCGTCCCCAACGCCAAGCGAGAGTTCGTCGGCGACCTCATGGTGATCCGGTCCCTCCGAAAGATCAAGAAGGGCGAAGAAATCTTCCACAGCTACGACGAGTCCGGCGACTACGAAGCTAGGCAAGCGGCGTTGATGACTACCTGGGGCTTCGAGTGTGGCTGCGCCCTTTGCGCGGCCGAGAAGACTGATGAACCTGCTGTGAGGAAGAAGAGGAACGAGCTGGTGGCCGAGGCAAATGACTTCATTAGCAAGACGCACCCGTCTAACAACAAGCGTCTGACGGTTCTGAAGGCTCAACGTCTCGCCACCGCGATCGACGAGACCTATGCTGATGAGAAGTTCAAGGGGCTGTCTCGTCCGGCATCGGCGGGTATCCGGGATTGGCTTGCTAGAGCAGCCCAGTAGATGGCAATAAATCGAAGAAGTTAAAGCCGAGTAACGAGATTTCTCCAGTGCGAAGGTTGATGATTGGCATTGAATCGGGAATGAGTATTGGTTATTCCCAGCGGAGATCTCGGAGGGTCATGGCTTGCGTGTTTGTGATCTTCCCGCATTGTTGACTAAACCATCAAAGACCAAGATGAGAAAGTTTTCTTCAGGCAGTCATGGGACTGGCGGGTACTTGCTCCGCAAGCAGCCAGAAAACCTCAAGTTAGAAGTCAGCCGCGCGGCCTTTTTGCGCGATATCTCGGATACTGTCCGGATTATGGATCACTTGTTCAGCCTTACAGTATGCTAGCTGCAGAAGCCGAGCTTCTCCGAATCTTTCGGTTGAAGCCTAGGCCCCGGATGGCAGGTGCAACTAGCATCGTGGGCATTGCTGCTGTGATCAATGCTGTCAGCAAGCCAAGACTTAAAGTCTCGAAATACCACTCTATCTTCCCATCCTTCATGGATATAAATAAGGGTTCAACATGGCAGGTGGCTAGGGGTCTAGACTCCAGTATATAGACTTGGCAGGCTCCGGTTCATCCGTTCCTCCGAGGCGTCGCTTCGGGCATATACCCATGTTCGGCTGCCATCGTGACCCTGAACGGCCGCGCCGGCCTCAAAAAATATCACCGAGACTCGAATCCACAATTCTTCAGAGCAACAAGACCGTTATGTACCCCGCACGAATCCCCCACATTCACCCGTAACCATTCCATTTTGCCAAGAACTTCGCAATGGACTCGCCCGTACGCCAAGAGGGTTGCCAAGACAAAATCATCCAGTTCTCCCCTTTTTCTCCATGTTTTAAGACTTACACAGCCTTTTAAAGCCAAGAAAACGCAACCTTTGGACGAAACAAAGTTGTTTCGATGCGCATTTTTTCCAAGTCTTCGTTCCGAGAACAAGCCGGAACAGCAATGGACGCTCAGACCATGGATTCTCGCCACTCATCTCGGTGAAAAGCCGTTAAACGAGTGCAACCGAGTCAGTGGCCCTTACCAGATTAACGGGTTGTCGCGATGACAGGCGACGGAGTGGCAGCCCTCTTTGAGCCTTTTCAGCGTCCCTGACGAGGGTGGTCCCAGGGCGCTGCCGCGAGTTTAATTGCTTGGCATAAGCGAGCCCACCCCGGAACCCATGCCGTTCGCTCTTGCGTGCGTGATTCTTCATATTAGACTTTCTTGGGTGGTCCTTGAGCCACCTTCCGGATTGACAACCTTCAGATGCCCCGACCTATCACGTAGGGCTGTGCAGTTTACCCAGTCAGGCATCAGGGCACACCCGCGCGGTTGGATTGCGGAAGATGGGACCTTGCTGGAGGGAACTTTGGGAATGAACCTGACTTAAAAGCTGCTGAACGGCCGGTCTTCGCTCCGAATCATGTAGCTAGTCATACCTTTATCTGTCTCTCGTTCATCCGCGTCCTGAGCTTAAACCTAGTTTCGACTCAGTCTTGAAAGCTGTTTGCTCTTCAGAAGTCTCTCATTAATCACATACCTGTCAACTTCAAGATGGTCAACGCCACCGAAATCATTGCCGTCCTGGCAGGAACTTACACCCTCCTCAACACCTCTGCGTAAGTCAGCTCAGCTAGCTGCCGGCTCCCGCCTGGATACCGACAGTTTGGCTCACACTAGACTTGTACAGGACTAGCAATGGCGTTCCCGTCGAGGACCGTGTCTACGGTTCCAACCCTGTCGGCATCCTCACATACAGCAAGTCCGGCTACGTAACAGCCACCATTACATCGACCGACCCCGAAGACCGCCCGGCCAACCTCACATTCCCTTACGAAGACAGCCAAACCGACGCGGATTGGGCTCAGGTCGGCAGACACTCGATTGGATACGCAGGCGTTATGCGTATCAGCGACGCCTTCCCCGCCACTCTCACAACCGGTCAAGTCATCCACGGCCCGTTGACCGTTGCCAACATCCCTTCCATGGTTGGCACCGAGGCGAGACG